CCAATAAGGCGGTTAACTCCGAGTCGGGGAAGTCGGGGAGTCGATTATCCGGGCTGCACGAGGCTATATATGAAGAGGAAATTTAGATTACACGGAGGGTGACATTGATATCTATAAACACCATAGATGATAGAATGAGTGCTTGGCTATCTAAACGAGTGTGTGTGTGCCCGTATATGAGGGATCTGTCGGCCTCGGTAATCGGACCAACTATTAATCCATCTCGACTTTCATTCAACCAGCGTATGAGTCATATGACCTCCTACCATTGCTCGACCACGAATGGTATACGAATGGTATACTGCGACCATAACCCTACCTCAGATGGTATACCAGATGGTAGGAAGTGAAGGATATAAAGGACACTCATTCATGTACTTAGTTCTTCGCGATCAATCTAGTTAATCAAACATTGGTTACCTTCCTAGTTTCTGACTCGTCCACACTTAACCAACAACCCAGTATACGTACTGGGTTGGCCTTGTTTCTCTATTCGTTGCCTTATCGATTCTACTTGCTGAATGCCTTACGGAGCCTGGAGGGGGCTATATACCCATTGAGGCGTCACAGCTTGGACCTGGATGGTCATTGAAGTAGCCGAACACCTTAAGACGACACTTAGGGTAAGTGTCCTGTCTCGAAATACAACTAGAACCCTAGGTACGATACGAGAGAAGCCAGGTTGTGACAGATGGCTCGATTTGAAGTTAATGCTCACTCCTTAATATGTTAGTGCACTTGTCACGCTGGTATCAATAGAGCGACACTAGTTGCAGATGCTGCCAGTTCTAAGGCCTGGTGTATACACCATTGACACTAAATCAACATTCTCTGTTGATCATATCCTATACCGTAGTCATATAATAAAGGTCCCTAACAGCTCAAATCGTTTCATTTGCATGCCTCAATATTCAATTGTACAGGATATATGCTCACTCGAGCACTGAATGGATAGAACTGGCTATTGGCCAGATTGAGGATGTCAATGCAGTTAATATACAAGTACAGTAACTGCGCCACATACAATATAGCCACAATATCAATTAGGCTAAAGCTGTGGCTAGGCTCCATTACCTCGGAACGGAGAAACAAACTTAATTTGGTGGTCATGATCAAGAAAATAGCAAGGGAGTCACGGTTTGACACATGAGATTGCGCACATCCTATATATTTATTCTACCAATTGCATCCAATCGAGTGGATGAAGACTTCGCTATCCTCTCTTCTGCGCCCTGCCCAACGGTCCGTTTATCGCTGTTCCCCGAGTAGAACCAGCCCAGCAACAACCGTCATCGGCCAGAGAAAGAATATTCACCCCACCAGGATCCCCCACCACAACCACCGCCCCTCCTGTAATCAACCCCCCTGTCGCTACTACTCCTCGGATAAGCCTTCTTTAGACACCATGCCGAAGGACAACAAGAACACGTTCAATCTCAAGACCCCCAAGGGCACGAAGGATTGGTCGGGCTCCGACGCCCTCCTCCGCGATCGCATCTTCAACACCATCGCCGATATCTTCAAGCGTCACGGTGGAACAGCTCTTGACACCCCCGTCTTCGAACTGCGCGAGATTCTGGCCGGAAAGTATGGCGAAGACTCGAAACTCATCTACGACCTTCAGGACCAGGGTGGAGAGATTTGTTCGCTCCGATATGACTTGACCGTCCCCTTTGCCCGGTGGCTCGCCATGAACCCCGACGTCCGCAGCATCAAGCGTTACCACATTGCCAAGGTCTACCGTCGGGATCAGCCTGCTGTCAGCAAGGGTCGGATGCGTGAGTTCTACCAGTGCGATTTCGATATTGCTGGTTCCTTCGATGCCATGGTTCCGGATGCGGAGGTTCTGAAGATCGTCACCGAGGTGTTTGAGGGACTTGGTTGGCAGGGACGTTACAGCATTAAGACCAACCACCGCAAGATCCTCGACGGAGTTTTCGAAGTCTGCGGAGTGCCATCGGACAAGATCCGCCCTATCTCGAGTGCTGTCGACAAGTTGGACAAGATGCCCTGGGCTGACGTGCGCAAGGAAATGGTCGAGGAGAAAGGTCTTGACGGTGCAGTAGCAGACAAAATTGAGACCTATGTGGTCCGGAGGGGAGGACGGGAATTGCTCAACGACTTGCTCAACGACGCAGCCCTGACCGCAAACGAGTTCGCCAAGGCCGGTCTGGAGGAAATGACCAATCTGATGGACTACCTCGAGGCCTTTGGCGTCCTCGACCGCATCTCCTTCGACATGTCTCTGGCCCGTGGTCTCGACTACTACACCGGTGTGATCTACGAAGTTGTCACGGAAGGCTCCGCCCCAGCCATCCAGCAGACATCCCTCCCAACATCATCCTCGGAAGCCCCCGAAGCCCAAAAATTGCAAAAGACTGGCAAGAAGGACAAGTCCAAGTCTGGTAACTTGGAAGACGACGACCGCTCCAACGACCCCACATTGGGTGTTGGCAGTGTTGCTGCCGGTGGCCGCTATGACAACCTGGTCGGCATGTTCCAGCCAAAGGCCAACATCCCCTGTGTCGGTGTGTCGTTCGGTGTTGACCGTATCTTCTCCATCACCAAGGCCCGCATTGAGCGCGAGCAGCGCGCCGAGGCCCTGCGCAGCAGCGAGGTGGATGTCTATGTGATGGCCTTTGGCGGCAAGGGCTTCACCGGTATGTTGAAGGAGCGTATGGACGTCTGCAAGACTCTGTGGAACGCTGATATCAAGGTATGTCTCTCCTAACCTCCCGTTGAAAGAGCAAGGGGACACCAATACTAACAACACCAGGCCGAATTCTCCTACAAGGTCAAACCTAAACTCCCCCAACAATTCAAGGCCGCCGAACAGGGCGGTATTCCCTTCGGCATCATCCTGGGCCAAGATGAACTTGCCAACGGCAAAGTTCGCGTCAAGGAGATGGGTCTCGAGGAAGGACACCCCGAGAAGGAAGGTGTGTTGGTGGACCTCTCCTCGCTGGTCGATGAGGTGAAGGCTCGCCTTGCGCGGAAGAGTCAGTCAAATGTGGATGCCCTTGTGCAGCAGCTGGAGGGCACTAAGACAGAGGATGCTGGTATTTAATGGCTTGACAAAAAATGAAGACATGAAAATAAAAGTTTCAATACCCGGTTTAGATTGCATTTAGCTCGGTGAATACAGTTGCATGAAGTTACAGTTACATTTGTTATCCATTATTGTACAAGTAATATCAACTCTCTGCGTTGCGCATCAAGAACGCCTTGACCAGGGGCAACCGTTCAATAGCCTCTACGCCGAGGCTACGAGCCCAAGTGACAGGTCCTTGTCCTGGAACATTATACAACTTATGCAGCATATCACACACGCCCCCAATCTTTGCGTTAACACCGTACCGCTCCGCGCTATACCGCTCCAGCGTGAGGATGTCGCCCACGTCCATGCCGTGGGTAACCGCGTATTCGATGGTATTCGACAACGATGCCACATCGCCAAGACCAAGGTTGAGACCCTGGCCGGCCAACGGGTGCACGACGTGTGCTGCATCACCGACCAGCGCAACCCGCGGCGACACGTAGGTGGAAGCGTGGCGGAAGCGGAGAGGGAAGGAGGCAACACTGCCTTCTTGGACGCTTGTGACCATTGGTGGGATGTGGGATGGGAGAGGCGTGTGCTGTAGACGCCAGACGAGTTCGCTCTCATGGAGGTCTTCTGTGTCCGCAGCAGAGGTGGAGGATTGACGCTCCATGCGCATCATATATTTCAGGTCTGCCATTTCGAGACGAAAGGCGGCGTTTACCATGGCGATGAAGGCCTTAGGGGCAAGGGACTTGAGGTACGCTGCGTTTTCGGGGGTGGTTGACCACACAAGGGTTGCGTGGTTGTTTGGCAGCGGGAGAAGGGCAATTGGACCCCCAAGTGACGGCAGGAAACGCTGGAATGCCGTTCTCGTGCCTAGTGGGAACGGAGTAGGGTCTGGTTCTGACAGGGCTAGCGTTGCAACAACGCCCTGTCGGCCGTAGTCCCAACCATCCGTGTTGATATCTGCAAAGCGACGGACAGGGCTGTTGATTCCATCTGCACCCACAAGAAGTCTTGCCGCAATCCGTGACGGCTGCTGCTGCTGCTGCTGCTGCTGCTGGGTTGGGGAGATAGAGAGGACGGGCCAAGCCGACAGGTTAGGCCCATCGGGATGGTAGTTTATACCGTTTTCGATGGACGAGACGGTCGAATTGCCGAAGATGGACAGGTTCTCGTCACCGGACTTCTCGATCCGCAAAAGTAGCGAGCGGACCAGGTTAACGTTCTCCGTCATCGTCGCAACGGTGCGGAGATCTTCAAATGGCGATGTCTCCATCGACCAGTCGAACGATAACCGCGACCCAGTTTCGCCGTCCCACACCTTCATTTCCTGATAATTCTGTGCGCGGTTGGTATCCAAGTAGTCCCACGCACCAATCCGCTGCAAGAAAGACACAGACGATGGTGTCAAGCTGCTAACCCGGTTGGAGAACTCGTGCGGTGCGGAATTCCACGTGCGGGCCTTGCGGAGGTCCTGGGTTTCGACGAGGGCTACCCGGAGTTTCGAGGTCGCGGACGATGCCCCTACATACCGCAGTCAGTATCCATATATTAGTGAAGAGACAATCAAGCATACGCAGCGCCGCCAATAAGCCCAGACCTGCAGGGCCTCCTCCGACACAAACAACATCGTAGATCTCGGGGGCTTGGTCAAGTTTCGAGACGAAGCCCCTTCTCTGCACGACAAACGTCCCAGGTCGGCACCGGGAACGGACGCACAAACGAAGCGCTGAACAAGCAACAGGACGCATCGCGATGGTACGTTGTCTGCGACGATTCCGAAGGGCTGTTAAATAAAACGTCCAAACCGGCAAAAATCCTACCGCCTTGCTTGAAGACGACTTCTCGGTTGCCCTCACTGGGCGGTATAGGTATCATTGTGACTCTGCATACAGAGTACCAATAGTACGATTGTCCTTTGTCCTTTCTTTACTTTCAGTCATTCTTACTCTGATTCACTTTTGACTCTTTCTTTCTTTTGGATACTGTGTATCCATGATGTAACTAATATGCAATTACAATGAATGATTGTTAGAATCAGCCAATCATAGTACAAACTAGTGCCACTGCATACCGCTTACCATCAACTACTATCTTATGACTAGAGGCCTCATAGTACTTGCTTCCATTCTCACTACCCTGCCTACTATTGTACGTTTTTCCTTCTATGTATTTCGTCAACATATCCAAATTCTTGCAAAGTTACGCGTTTTCCGCCTCTATTTGTCCTGGTGAGCACGCTTGGCGAGTTCAGTGACAATACTAACCTGCCGTAGGTGACCCTTCCATCTCGCTGCATCATTTTATGAGCAAGAGCTAATGTACATCCTGCCCTTGCAACAAGTCCCAAAACACTCTGGAAAACTGACTGTCACGCCTATGGCTCAAATTTTACGCTGTGCTGACGCCAAGGAACGAGAGTTCGAGCTACTTAGACAATTTTGATTGTGACAGCGGCGTCAGCCTTGGCTGGTACTCAGTACATTAAAGATGAGCTGAATAAAGTTTTGGTGTGTCTCGGCCAGGAATCGCGCTTCCCTGCAAAAAAAAAAAAAAAAGCGCTCGACTCTATTTGCAAGGCTTTAAGCGCTTGGGTTTGTTTCCTTCACCGTCTCACGACAACTGCTTCGATATTGAAACGTTCCGTAAAGAAATCGGCACCTTCTATATGGGCTCAAGTGCTACTTGCACTCCGAGAGCTAGCTTGTCTAAGTAGTCTTGTCTGTGGACCTATCTGGGTCTTAGGACGTGACACTTCCACGTCAAGGCTGAAGGTTTCGATGGACGTGGACGATTTGAATTTCCTATTGGGACCAATTTGGCTAGTCGACTCGTGTCATGGATAGGCGATCTTTACGAAAGAAGGTTGTGGAGGCTCTTGCGCTACCGTCAGATACGGGTGTTGGTCCAGATGGCGGTTCTACGGGTATGGTGGCCATACTCGGATGAAGCGTTGCTCTAAGAAATCCAAGAAAAAAACGAGCCCATGGTCACTCATGTTGAAAGATACTCACACGAGGTCTACCTAGGCTGTTGGGTCTATGGAATTTCTGTGATTCCAGACGGACGGCATTTTTTTGCAAAGAAATGTCAAGGCAAACAAACTGCAAACACCGCGCTTCAGACCACAGTTCTTGTTAAGGCCTGTCCCATGGACGCAACGTCTGACTTGTCGATGTTAACATCATTTTTGTGAAAAAAAAAAAAAAAAAAAAAAAATCTGGAATTCTGAACACCAAGAGACAGCGATTGCAAAAATAACCCAGAAGGCAATGCAGCCATTGTTCATGGTAAAGAATAAGGGAAGAAAAGTACGGGAGAAGGTCCGTCCAGGTGATAACGTGGGACAGTTTGTCAGCTTGCTGGCACATTTATATGGAATCTTTGCCCACAGGTCTTGCATATTTTACTTGCTGTTATACTTGAGCACCGTTTCATAAACCTCCGATTCTTACCGCTTGCCCTTCCTCAATTTTGCGGACCGTTTGATCTTTCATTCGGTAGAAGAACTAAACGAGCTGGAACCATCTTCTTCCCTGTCGATCACGCTGACTGTTCTTATGGCCCTCATGATTTACGCCTTTCTAATGCCTTCATGTTGTTGAGCAACGTTAAACAACGTGTACTGATTGATGACGAAAATCTGTATAACACTGATGATGCAGACAGTCTAACTATGTGATCCAAATCCAATGAAAGCATTTTATTTTGCATGGACCAGGACTGTCCCCTGGCAGCCTATCCGCTTTATAAGGGGTGTCCCTGCACGAGCCTCCGGTATAATAAGAGATGCGTGGTTTTCCTCAGTCGACCTAACCGTAGTAGAGAAGATGCGCAACCGAAAGCGAAGAAGTAGGATTACTCTCGCCGACTCACCTGTCCAAAGATCGGCACTGTCTTGTCTTGCTTCAGAGAGTGCAGAGATACGTTATACAACCTAAGAATTGCAAGGTTCTGTTCAAACTAGTTCAACATGTTTGTCGAGGATCCTCCCAGAAATGTAGCCACTGCTGCATGGGTTTTAATTGGGGATAGCGAAGACCTCATTGCTTCAACACCAAATCATGAGCAAGAAACGGGCAAGCTCGTTTTTCAACTGAGTTCCAATTGTGAATTGAGAAAGAGTAGCCACCTGGGTCCCTCTGCAAGGTATTTCAATTGGCCTGGGGGTCGTTTTCAGTTTTTCATGCTAACAGGTTCGGCCGTGACATCTTCAACAAGACTATCAAAAGTTCAAGGTTAAATCGGAGTTAAACTCCTCGCTTCGCTAACTATCCAGTCCCAGAACTATCTTGTTGGCGGCTCAGTTTGGATGTTGGGTAAAAATCAGTGGGTATAGACGTTGTGTCTTTCCATTAACGTTGAGGACTTTGTTATGCTTTGGGGATCTGTTTGGATGAACGAATCTTTTATCCAAACCGAAATGAAATATCTTGTTTCAGTTGAACCCAGTGGTATTTGTACTGGAGAAGAGATCGAATGTCGATAGACAAAGCAACCCCCTCGATCTGACATTCTACCAGACATCTCAGTACCATCACAATTGCTAATTCGGTGCAGCAGAGATCTAAACCGTCCCATCAAGAATCGCTTCCGGGTTCCGAGACTTTGTAAGTTCTTTTCCCGGTAACTAGCAACGACACATAAAATAACAACACTGCCTCTCAGTCGTCCTATTATCTCCATCCACCGTGGCCTATTGTATGACTTAGATTGTTAATTAGTCCATATTTCCTAAAACAAAGCACTCCCGATGTGGGCGATCCCAGTTGTATAGCCGGGCGCAAAGGCTGGGATTAAATGGTTGCTTTTGATACCTTTTTTCATATCTTCGGTGTGCTAGGTATACTGAACCAAGATAGCTTGGCCTGCAATATCCCCTGGGCTCTCCTTGGCACTAAGGGCAAGGTCCAATACGTCCACAGATACCAGCAGGTAACTAAAAAATACAAAACTTCCAACACTCCTAAAAACCAAAATGCAACAATACCTCAAGCACGGCATTCCCCGGGATAGCCGTTCTCGGCTTGATTGCTACCAAACTTGGCCCTATATTTATACCCGCATTCAAAACTCCGCCACAATAACGGAGATCCTTGCAGCGACAACAATCAACAGGCACACAATAATCCTAATGCAAAGAGGAATCGATTGAATTGGGTTTCAGGCTAGACCTGCATACCGGAGTCCCGATACATATCTTGCAGCGTGGCTTTGCGGGCTCGCCTCACCCTGTACAATACAATCAATGTATGTACAGCCTCGATATTGGACGGGGGTGGTTTCATTTCACATCTCATCTCAGCCTTGCCGGTGCCAGTGCCATATTGTCAGGTTCGAAAAGGCAAAAAAGGGATAATAATGGAGTGCGATTATCTGGTTGCCTGCGGGATACATAAGTTTAGAAATTTCACGCTACGAGCGAAGTGCGAAATTCAGGGTCTTTTCTATTCGTGATTTCGGATACCCCCCCAAGGGGTAATAATACATACCCTTTAGTTATGGCTCCCTCTACCGGTAATTCGTCATCAGCAGCTACAATGAAATCAAAACCTCAGTCCAACCCCAAGTCGAAAAAAGAAGACAACGAACCGCCCCTCAGCGCCAACTTCGCCCGATCCTCCTCGTCCATGATCGGCTATGACCACGAAATCTATCTCCAGTTGACAGCCGGAGGGAAATCTTCTACAAAGACAGCTAATCAGATCTATCGTGAGGTTTGTGTTCTATTTTTATATGATGACTTGAGAAAATGGTGATTAATTGGTCAGGAACGTGCAAGGCATCTCACCACTCGGGCATTGGACCCGGCTATTCTGGAGCCCCGGGGCGATCCCAGTTCGGTGGATTTCGAATGTGCCGAGTACCAGCGGAAAAAGGATCGGTTTCAATAGATTAGTGGGCTGTTGGGTTCATTTCTTGTTCCGATAGGCTAGTGTAGTCTGGTCCTACGACTAAGATCGTCTAATACGTAGGATGAACAAAAGTTGATATGTACCGGGTATGGAAATTGTCTGAAATAAACTATAGTATATCATCATTACAGCCATTGATGTCAAGCAAATCATTGTCCAATCCACCAAGAAGCAATCGTAAATATCAGATTAGCAAAGGGGAATGCAAGTCAACCTCCCTCTCAACTACCGCTCTGTATTACCTTCCGTTCCCTCGGGATTCCCCTCTATTTCATCCTCCATATCAGCGACAAATCGCTCCCACGTGTTGATAGCCCCCTGATAAAAATCGATGTGCTTGGCAGCAAACTCCCCCAGCGTATCCCGGAACTCAGCCGCCTTGATCCGCTCAAAGTCTGCCACCTCCCGCACGACCTCCTCATCGAACATCTCCGATGTCGTCTTAGCAGAGTCTACTTCACGTGTAAGTTCGTCAATGCGCAGCTCCAACTTGCGCACTCGTTCCCGTCGTGACTGTTCATGATCGACACCGCGCATGTCTTCCATCTTGGAGCGGATGAAGGAGGCCGGGGAAGAGGTGAGTGGGTTGGAGGCGTAGTAAGAGGATGGGTTGGCGGCCAGCGAGTCCCGCTCGGCGACCGCTTTGTTGCGGTAGTCGACCAAAGCTTCAAAATCGAGTTGTTTCTGCTCCCGGGTCTTCAGCAGGTTTTTGACAGAGGTGATGTATGAGTCCATGTCTCGTAACGAGCCTAGGTAGTTTTGATCCGTATGTTCTTTGAGCGTTTTGAGTCCCCGCCCTGTCTCCTCCACCGAAGCTGCGAAGATCTGTAATGGAACCTCGACGTTCGGCTCGAGACTGACCAAGCTGCGGAACTGCATAGCTAATTCGTTGTAGTCAGTTTCCAGATCCGTCTCGCGACGAGCCACCCGGGCCACGATCTTCTCGACATGGTTGAGATCCTCATCCAACTTGTCCGCCTTCTCCCGGACCTCAATGAACCGGCGATCTGGCTTGTGCACTTTGGTGAATGCGTTGACAAAGGTATCCGTAAAGTTATCAAAGATCCCTGCTCCCCCGGCAGTCTCCGATGAGCCCTGGGAAGTGCGCGATGATCGCAGTCGCATATGCGCATTCCAGTCCGGCGATTCCAGGAATATTGTCAATATGGGTGCTCGACGAAAAACAGGATGCAGTGTCAGGCGTTTGAGGAATCGATGCAGGGACCAAGCACGCCGGGTGGTGAACTCAGGTCCGAACCTGTCTCCCCGCACATACTCCATCTTGTGCTTATCAGGCAACGGCGGAACCGCGCAGGCAGGGTACTCTCGATAAAGTGTCTTGTATAGGAAGTAGAAGTCGGTGAATCTTCTGCGCACCGAGAATTCCGGTTTCTGGAAGGATTTAAAGTCGGTCTGTATACGGTCATCTCGTCAGTACTTTCATCCATAATCCCTTTACTAGACAGGCAACCATCGCTAAGGTCATGCAAGCCATAACAGAAACAAGATAGAACAGCACTCACATTCGTAGTAACCAAATACGAAACGTATGCATCCTTCGTTCCATCATTCTCCTTCAAAGGTGATGAGACGTTGCATTCAAGCACCCCGTCACCGATGCCTGCCAGGTCGATAGCGTCGGCCAACGCCCCGGCCTGCGGTTCGTCGTGAGCCGAACTCATTCTCTGTTTGCCATTGACGTCGTATTTGAACCCATGTTGCTCTTCTGTATCTGTCCCGGAGGTAGTCGGACGCGAGTTGTCGCTATCCGGGTCGTTTCTCCACGAAACACTGTCGAAATCGTCGTGCTGATCCATCGAGGGGGTTTCGATAGATGCTAATCTGGCGGATCAGACAGGCCTGTCACTTGCTTGAAAGAGAGCCTAAGTGGTTAGATATGTGAGATCTCAAGAATATGACGTGGAGGTAGTATTAGCTGGGAAAGGGAAAGATAGCAACGATGTTGCGGAGGGAAATGGATTGGTGGAGACCAGCGTCATCGCCGGGAATGCCAAGAATTGCCTAAAAAAACGCCAAAAGGGCTGCTTTCACTACTCTGTACTACAGAGTACCTTCTACCTACCTCTACAGATTTCTTGAGCAGAAAATTTAGACTTTTTAGTTCAAGCTAGTCCTGGATCTTGTTTTAGGATGTCAACGTATAACACTCGCAAGGAGCATCTCGGGCTATAAGGTTTCACCGTCAGACAACGCATTTAAGACAGCGTGAACCTCAAAGAGGCGTTGTCTTCCAAGTTACGAAAGGTCATCATATCAAGTGTTGGACAGGAAAAGAAGTCATTATCCACGCTTCAAGTTTCATAGTGTGTATATACAAGTACTGATTATTCCACTCTCGCAAGCGAATTCATATTCAAAGAAGGGATACCAAAAGTAAAACCAGAAATTCAACTATTCAGAACCACCGAACGTGATGCAGGTAGTTGTATCATTTCTCTGGCTCATCATAACGCTCTTCGCTATTTGTCTCTCGTGCTTTGTGGTCATGGTACGGTCCTTCATCATCACCGCTGAACAACTCTTCATCGCTTTCTCCGGCAAATGCGTTGTACAGCTCACCACCCCGGCGCTGGGTACGGCCCGAGAATCCGGTCATTGCGTGCAACTCATCCTCGTCTTCGATGACTTCAAAGTCGTAGTCGTCCTGAGGGTTGTCACGCGCGCGTTTGCGCCGTTGCATATTGAAGTAGATACCGAGGCCAATGCAGAATACGATGATGGAGCCGATGGCAGCGTAAATCCACGCTTGTGTGCGTTTCGAAGCTCCAAAGGTAGGAAAGAATGATGGCAGGAAGCTCTCAGATACAGGTGTGCTGGTGGGAATGGACTCAGTTTCCATGGGGGGTCGAGGATCCGGGGATGCAATCGTGGTTGTTGCGGGATCCTGTGTTTCGCTGGGTTTGGCATTGATAGGGCGATCGACGGCCTCGTTGGGCTCGCCAGGTACTTGGGTCTTGGTGGGCTGAGGCTGGACGCTGGTCGTGACCACAATGGCGTCTTCGATGGTGTGGTCATCATCGTGTTCTGTTGGGAGCGGGTGCAAATGCTGATTGGTTCCATCGATGGCCTCTCCCCAGAGATTCAATCGCCAATCGACAAACTCCCCAGAGTATTCGTTGACCTTGGCATCTTTGACAATCACTGTCCATTTTCCAACACCTGACTCACCCCTGAGGACTAGTTAGTCTGAAAGAGCGAAAAAGGAGAGAACTGAAATCTTACCAATGAGCAACAGTCATGAAAGTCCAATCAACATAACCAACTGGAGCACTGTCGGATCTTCTAGCTGTACTCAGATGGCTGACGATCCCCTCAGGACTGCGCAATTCCACACTCAGATCCCCACGACGCGTATGATTCACGTTCATGGTCACAGTGACATGCTCCAATCGGTCAATGTTGGCCTTCTTCAACATGTCACTAGTCACCTCATATGAGCTAGACAGGCCCTGTTCGCCTTGAGGAATTTCGTGAAGAACGCGAAGCCATGGAGAGTTAAACCAAGCCTGCGGTTTCACCAAATCCCAGGTCTTGGCCTTCTGGACCATCGAGTATGCATCAATCTTGCCGTAGCCCCAGTCGTGGCTAAACTTCCGTCCAGATTTCGTAACCTGCCAGCTGCCGTCGTCTTCGTGAATCGGGACAGCCGAATCGAGCATCAGGTACTGAGTATCGCGCCACGTCAGATCTGGACGAGCACTGAGAGCAAGGGCCACTACGCCGGCGCCGAGCGGGCCCGCTGCGGAGGTTCCACCATGGAGTTTGCTGCACGTGTCGGGACCAACATCGGTGGTATGAATAGCATCACCAGAGCCACTGCTGTACGCGACCACCAACTGCGCGGAGCAGGACTCGGAATAGCTTGGGTGCTTGCCTGCGCGGTCAATGGCACCCACCGTGATACTGTAGATGCTGTTAGTGTACCCGTCGAAGTTGCAGTTATCGTCTGATGCAGCACCATTGCCAGCAGCAAAGACGAAGATCGATCCTTTTCCATCCCGACCATTCTGCACACCATTCACGATGGCCCGTTTGATCATGATCCCAGGGCCTTCCATGGTCTGTCCATCATCAGGAGGTCCCCAGGAGCACGAGTAAATATCATTGTGTTGGTAGTCATAGTTGATGGAGGCCGCCTCGTCTGCATCGTCGATCGGCTTGGACAGAATACGGATGCCAGCAATTCGGCTGTCGTAAGCGACTCCAACACCGCAAACATCGTTTTTAGCTGCCGCGATTTCACCGGAGCAACGCGTGCCGTGCTTATCATCGTACAAGCGCGGCTTGGGCTCGGGGGTCTTTTCGTTGAAATCGTACGAACCCTCGGGGTAGTAGTTGGGTCGGAGGTCGTTGCTGTACATATCTAGTCCGTCGTCGACAATAGCTGTAATAACACCCTGGCCGGTAATCCCCTCCATCCAAACACCCGTCACGTTCAAATCATGTCCAACCTGTACCGTGTTGTAAAGATGCCACTGGTCCGTGAAGGTCGGGTCTGTGATATCAAGGGCCATTGCAACCTCTTGCTGAGTCTGAACGGCTTGTGCATCTGCCTTACTGGAGAAGAAGCTTCTCGGTTGATTTACCGGCGGAGGCATTCTTTTCTCCAATCGTTTCCGGAGAGCCAGCTTCTGTGACCACATGATGCCATCCAAGCCATCCTCCCTTTTACCTAACGAGGCGCCATCTCCCGATCGCCGCCGTAACTTTCTCCGCGATTGTAGATCTCGCAACAGCGAATCGATATTCGAGCTCTCTTCTCTTGGAAGAGAGAAGGTGTGGTGGCCTGGTAGTTCACCTACTTGGCCTTCGTGGCGGGCACCCAGCGCCTGGGCGACTTCGGAGGGCGACGTGGACTCATCGAGTTGTAGAGCGAAGAAATCATGGGTATCGTGAGAACGGGGTTGGAGGTTCGCGGTAGAAGTCGAACACAAGAAGCCCAAGGCCACTGCTGCGCTGGTGAGAAAACGCATATTCTGGTTGTAATTCGAGTTGAGATTCGAGGTCTTAGGGAGGGTTGCCTCTCCGAGGCGAGACGAGTTCAGACAAGTAAGAGTGCCATGAACTGCCGGGAATTATCCAGCAGGAAAGATAACAGAAAGAATTAGTTTAAAATATATAGAAGAAGTTATTCTCTAAGACTGACAGGGGAACAATAAGGAAGAAGGAGGAGAAGAGTGGAAGATGAAAGAGATCAGATGCGACGGGGAATTAGGATCGTTGGATGAACACCGCCAGACACGGCCGGGACAGTTGTGCTTTTCTTTTATTGCCTTTTAACAGATCCAATATCAGCAGCCACGGGAATTCGCCTTGCGAGTATTAACTGATCCCTGTTTCTCTTCGTTATTCTTCGAAACGAGCCTCTTTGACCCGGATCTTCTACCAGGGGTACGCCTCGTCGGGCTTAGTCATGGCTCGAAGACACGTTTTCAATCGAGGCGCAGCATTTGGCTGCTTGCGTGCAATATTCCTGTTGTTAGGCTTACTCTGGGTATACAATGCATATCGTGTACAATATCATATGCCCTTTTAGAAAACACAGAGAGGACATTTGTCCGGTGTCTTGCATCTCTATACTTGTATTATGGAGTAAAGGTCTTACCAGAAAGGGTATAGTGCCATACTCAATTAGGAAAAATGCCATTCTATATACAAGCCATCCGACAAAATACTTCAGGCCTCCTCGTGAAAGTCATTAAATGGAAAATGATCCTGAAGTTTAGTCCTCTGGAGGTGATGATAGCACGGTTCCAGCAGCTTGGCTTTTACTTCCTACGCCTTTTCCTTGGAAGCTTCAAAATCATCGCTCGACACCCAACCGTCTAACCCTACGCCCACAGCCTTTCGCAATTGCTCCATAGCAGTATCGGCTTCTTCCTGTTCTGCACTAAGGTGGCTAGTATATTCAATGACTTTGTCCGAGTGTTTAATGGGAGGTGTAGGACCCTCTGCTGAAAAGAACATTGGCCAGCTAAGAGCAGCGTTGACCTACTTAAAAGAAATTGATCATTTCTCTATACAGCCGTTCGTAAGACAGGCGAGACTTCACATAGGCTTTTGCCCAGGTCAATTTCCGTTCACCAACTGCCCGGAAAATGTCAAATAGCGATAGCCCTAGTGTAAATAGCAGTGAGTTATACCAGTAGTTTTGACAGTATACATCTACAACGCCCTCTGTCGATATCAAATTTACATCTCGCACCTTGCCACCATCTATAATGCGCCATTGGCCCAAAATGCGCACCCATCGTCCAGATTATAGCGGAACAACTCATCTTCGGGGTGTCTGGTCGGCCTATGGAGGCATCTCACCTATTGAACCCCACCATGAAAGCATAGAGACCGAATTCGTAGAGCTAAGGAGGTTTAGTATCCCCCTGTTTAAGAATTTTACATAATGATAGAGCATTTGGTCGACAGCTAAATTTCGCCGAGTGTTTGCGTACAAATGTGCGCTAAGTGCTACATCTTCCAAAAGATTTGGATCAATGCATGAACCCTCTCTTCAAATGACCCTCGTTGAGAACTGCCTGAGAAGCCAATGATATTTATTAGTCTAGCAAGTATCACACTCCGTGGTATTGTGTCGGAATTTTGCAGTATTTGAACCCAACAGGCACGGCAGGTCTTCGCACTGGATATAGAATGCATTAATTTCATATCCAAATACCTACCAAAACCAGCGGAGGAAATCTTGAGCCAACCTACAAATTCAATCCATAGACCAATTGGGCCGCCGAATTCATCGAAAACCATTTTTTCTTCATCAAAGTTCAACGGACGCCTCGGGCCTGCAAGCATCTGTCCGTCTCGAAAAACGTAATAGTGACCGGCGACATACTTGAGCCTTCCTGATTGATAACCATCCAGGACAGTGGTAGCATTCGCGGTGTGTTCTCCAATAAGATTGTTTTTCAAAATGTGCTCAAGACTTTCGATTCGACGCTCAATAGCGGATTCTGGAGGAAGCAGTTCATTCAGTTCCTGAAGTATGGATGCAGCAGCTTCAGCACTGGGCCCATCGGCCTGGATAATAGACTCGAGAGCTTCGCGGTACTCTTTGGAGTTTGCACTATACACTATTCAGTAATTGTAGTTGCCTTATTTGTGATTTTCTTACTAAGATGGTAGATGTACGACTGGCTTCGTATCAGATGCACTGTCCAATGTATCCGCCACAATGTCCTGCATCGAGTCCTTCGAGACCCTCATCATATGAAACTGACGTAGCAAGCGAAAAATGCTGGACTACCGGTCAATCGTAACATTTAATCAATGCATGAAGCTGGAAGAGTTCGGAACGGAGAACACTACGTCAGTACGGCGTGGATTGACGGAATATCTGGGGCATTCCATCAGACCACATGTACTCAGGAAAACAATAGTAGTATCACCAATTGGACATTAGACGTTGTGTATTAAGCTGCCTCGTACATTAACATGACTCAGACTAATAAATGATTGAATTGTATAGACCCTGGCACTTATTCAACCCAATGGCAACTACGAATGGCAGCCACTCAACTTCAGCTAGCCCATTCTTATATAATTTCCCTGACTCGATCGTCCAGTGTGTTGCCGTCACAATAATCACCATTGCTAATGGTGTCGGGATTAGTTTCTGGCTCAGATGCGCCGCCCTCTTCATTCCGTAGCCATTTGTCCAAGTAGATGCTTTCTGGCGGGTTGTCTTATAGTTACCCGTGACCCAGCCAATGCTTCTCAAGAATGCCGTGATAGTTTGATCAAGTAGTGGCAGAGCAGGGGTGGTAACTTTGGTGATAGGGCTTGTCCATTCTGGATTGCATGGAAAAGCAATCCCAGTCCAGTCAAATCCTGATCGCCTAGTCGCCAAGTTGCAGCTCAAAGCCATGTAATACGGAATTTGTTTGCTCGGCACATCCGCATCCAGATCCTTGAGCATTGGAAGCCTTATACAATCTTCTGCGGCTAGCGATGGTAGAATAACAGGTCTCACATAGGAGTTATGTGTTGGTAAGATGATGACCACAGCAAGAGCAGTAAGAAGCTGGTTCTGTATCTCAAAAAATGCGCAGAAGTCGATGAGGAGCTGCAACGCTCGTCTGGGGAGTCAATAAAGACACGGCAATGTTGGTGTTTTTCTTTCGTCGTATATTCAACTTCTGCTCACCATCAATGGCTACTGACCAAAGAGATATGAAGACATTCTTGTCGTCTTGATGGATGGCTGATTTCCAACCTGGATTGGAGGATGTGGTTGCAGACCTTCATCTCACCGCATTCTCGTCAACATCACCGATGTCTATCGCATCGTGAATTTCAGAGGCTCTTATCTCCACTCGTGAGTCTATATACACCAAAGTAGAGCTTTCCTACGATCCTCGCTCCACCATTTCAATGGAAAAGATATACAGCCATCCCAGCACAAGCACACCAATCATATTGCGTTGCAAGCCAGGATCACTCTTTTAACTCGACACAGAAGAGAAAGCATCGTTTCTGAAACACAGAGGTGTTGGCCGCTGGGTACCAATCGGAAGAGAAGTAGTTCGCACTTTTCGCTTCCCGCCAACGCCGCTTCCTTCGAAGATTTCCCAGGTTGCTTGTGCTCTCAAATACAAACCCCCTCCCCCCAATTCGATGAGGAAACATCTAATGGCATATGATAATGATGTGCGCAGTTGAGCGGAATTGATGGAACACGTTTAGTAGCTCTTGCGAGGCGAGAGACCAGTGGAATGCCATGTTCGTATTGGGCGACGGCGTGTCGGACTTGATCATGCCAGTACAGCCGAGATGCTTGTAAGACGTTGTTGACTCCTCCACTGCTGGTTCGAGGCATTCTGGTTGGTGTGTTTGCCTGGCTATGTTGGACGTGGTGAGCACAGAATGAGCGATGACTTACCAGACTTGCTCACTAAGTTTCATGTCGTTTCGCGGAAGACATTAGCCCAAATTATGCCAGGAAAGGTGCCATGACGCACGCGAAGGCACCATACGGCTATAAGAAGCAGTGAATAGATAAATTCGATAATTATTTCCCTCGGAGATTTGCAGCAGATGTGATATATTCCGATGCCTCCATATTACCAGTATAATGCTAGTCAAAGAAAGGAATATACAGATACAGATGAAGCCGCGCGATATGAATAAACCTGCGCTTCTCCACCATCGAGTCGATAGAATAATCACTGCTCACAATTGAAAGAATTTCTCCAATTTTCTTATAATAGAGCATTTTCCACACCGTCTGACCGAGTCCGCAAATAAGATTTAACGCTGAGGGCTGGGGTGACCAGCCACCAGGAATACTATTTCTTATCGCTTCGTCGCAAACCGCTCCTCTTTCTTTCCTCTTCCTTTTCGCGTTCATCTCGTGTTATCCTTGCGATTTAATTAATCTTTTTTGAATTCTGTTCTTTTCTTACTCTTGAATATAATTCACCTTTATACACCTTATTTTTCCTTTGTATATCCTAGTCGGAGTATATATTCATCGCCTATTTAATAGTGATGCTCCAGAGCTGAGAGCAGCGACAACACTAATAGCCGATTAAAGAGTCGACACGGGACTAATGTATATCCCCTATATCTCGCATCAGTTCTGCTTGATGTCCAGCTACTCGAGAATCAAAGAATACGTGTTAACTGAGCAGCGATAATCCAGATCTACGAATTCCCCGCGGCGAGAATCGCATTCGTAAACAATGGCAACAGCCGCCTCCCGAAGACTTGCAGATGCCACTAGCGGACATCCTATACCGTCGCAAGGGACCGAGAATAACGGAGTGGAGCGGTTACCATCAAGCAGACGACAAAATGGCTATGAGGGAGATGCCGCCTACCATCCTCGAGGGCCTCAGGCCCAGGCCTCCCGATCCCAAACGGTCTCCTACAGAAGATACCCAGCACCAACAGCTCATGGGCGCCATCGGTCATCCAATTCATTCTCCGCGAGGTCTAGGAATGTGCCTCCGAATTGGGACGATAAACCACTTCCCCCCAAGCCCGAGCCCGAGCCCGAGTCTACGGAGAACGAGTATACTACGCTGAGCATACGACCATTACCACAGCCCGCTGTACCGCAGGACGAAAGTGCGAGGGAACACTCACCACAGATGGACCCCAGTACCCAGCAAGCATCGCCGTTGAGTCGATCAGACACGACCCGTTCGACCAGAGAGCGGCGACGTGACTGGGCTTCGGACCGGTCTCCTCTACAGAAACTGGAAGTGGCTTTGGATGGAATCAGCAAAGAAGAGAAACGGGCTCGAGTTATGGAAGCGGAAATGCGGGTCAAAGAGCGATTGGAACAGCAAAAAGCCGGGGGCGAAGCTCGTGATTCACCAGCACCAGCGTCCGCTAAGGAATCTGCTACTCCGGCTCCTGCTCTGGAGACTCCAAAGCCCAAAGCCGAAACGCCGCAGATGATCCTAGATCGGTCCACGACTAGAAGTGTCAATTCCTCGTTGGGGACAAATACTCCTGACGGGTATCGTGACTCTCCGGAGGAACGTCGCATCCAGAGGTCCAATACCACAAGAGAACCCTCTTCATTTCGGTATGCTGCAGTGCCTCGTAACGATATGCGTTATGTTAAGCCATCGGCTGGTCAGCCTGCACCCGCTGGTCAGGCTCCCCGGCGAGCTGTATCAGTCAGTCATCATCCTGGAAGACCGATGCCGCGGCCATTAGTAAATGGAAAATTGCTTCAGGAGACTCCAATGATACACAAGAGGACTGTATCTCAAGCTGACCCGGTATCCGTGCCTCCAAGGAGAGTCGTTCTTGACGAGAACCAAGCCCCAAGGCAGGCACCAGTTCCCGTCTCGCGCGACTTTCCAGGAAGGCCAGTCAAACAACGGGCACCCTCTGCCCCCATGCCAAACACTCAGCGGCCAGCAGCAGGCGTCTATCCCGCACAGAACGCAGGCGTCCCCGAACCTGCTCAACCAGTCGTGAAAGACTCAGCAGTGCAAGACCCTCCGCCTCACGACTCCAGCGAATTTACTGTGCCATCGAAGCCGAAACGAAACACGGTTTCTTTCAATATACCACCGCCTACACCACCCCCATTGTTCGAATGGAAGAATGCACCCGTGGCTAGGCTTAATCTTTCTGATTTCGAATTCCAGCATCTGGATGCTGGTAGAATCAAGGCATGGTGGGGCGAAGGAAATTCCAACCGTCGGAGAAGCAGAGGACTACCAAAGAATTATCAGATGCCTTCTCAGAAGCCAAAGTGTAAGCAACTTACTATTCTATCTGAGCCAAGCGGAGTATTAACAGTTGATGCAGCGTACAAAACCTTCCAACCATCGCTCTACTTAAGAAGCGGTCCTCTGCTTCGGTACACAGGAATGAAACGGGTGCAAATCGACGGACCCAATGGACCGTTCGAAAAGGTGACATGGAGAGGCAGCATCATGATCGTGACACAAGACTCTAAGTCTATATATGAGCCAGCACCAACATTACGACTCTTCTCCCAGCCAACGGATCTCTTGCCTCCTCCACCTGTCGTGGTCAACGGTGATGGCGAGGGATCCCAGCTTCCACCTGAATACGTTGACCCGACCGCTGGGCTGATGAAGCTTGGACGCGACGGAAGGCCATTGTACGTTAAGCCTGTGGAGCATACCGAAGAGGGGTTGGATCTGTCGCATGTGGAAGATGACGATGGTATCTATGAGCTATCCGCCAGCATCCTCGACTTTAGCAGTGAAGGAGTCAAGCAGCCAATGCCCGCGAACCGGGTCCACTCGATGGACGGAGAAGTCGCTGGGGCATATAAAGAGCTGACTGGAATCCGCCTCTATGCGGACCCAGACCGTGATGTCACTTTCTGGCGATTCAATATCGAAGTCGAACTAGGTGAAGTCCAGCAGCGGATCGCATACCGCATCAACCACGGTCCCGCCTTGGGATTCTGGGTTCCAGCCAAGGCACAGATGATGAACATAACCTTCCACAGCGGAAACGGATTCACTCCTGGTGTTGATACCAACAAGTTCTGCGGACCAGATCCTTTGTGGCGCGATATCCTCAACGAGCATCAGACTCGGCCGTTCCATGTAATGATCGGTGGAGGCGACCAGATCTTCAACGACAAGGTCACAGCGGAATCATTCCATTTCCAAGATTGGCTCAAGATAAAGGACCTGAGTGATCAATACAACATGCCTTTTGACCCAGAATTCCGCGCAGAGCTTGAAAGCTCGTTCCTGGAGAACTACTTGGCATGGTTCTCTCAGGGGTTGTTCTCGCTAGTGGGATCGCAGATTCCCATGGTTAATATGTGGAATGACCACGAGATCCTTGAGGGATATGGATCGTACCCTGACGAGTTTATGCAAAGCCCGGTGATTTCGGGTCTGGGTCGGATTGCGTTCAAGTATTACCTGCTATTCCAGCACCAGACTGTCATTGAGGAGACGGACCATGATGAGCCCAGCTGGATTATGGGAGCTGAGCCGGGTCCGTATATCAGAGAACAAAGCCGGAATCTGTTCATTCCACTTGGCAAGGGTGTAACTTTGCTGGGTCTGGATGAGAGGACCGAGCGAATGAGCCATGAGATTCTCAGCGAACCGACATGCGACATCATTTGGGATAGATGTCATCGGGAGATGGCCCGGGGAGAGGTCAAGCATCTGCTCGTGCTCTCGAGCATTCCTATTGCGTATCCACGAATGGTAAGTTCTTGTATTTCCAGAAATGGTTTCAAAGGCTAACATGGCGTAGGCAATGCTTAAGAATATCTTAAACAGCCGCAAGTCTCTAGGCAAAGCAGGTATCTTCGGTGGCCTGGTCAACAAAAACGGCGGCAAGATCGAGATATACGACGACCACTGGACCGCCAAACACCACAAAGCCGAACGGACATTCTTGATCGAAGATCTCCAGGACCTTGCTGCAGACAAGTCCATCCGAGTCACCATTCTCAGCGGCGACGTCCATCTGGCTGCAATGGGGCAGTTCTATTCGAATCCCAAGCTCGGCCTGCCCAAGGACAAGGATTACCGATACATGCCGAATATCATCTCATCGGCGATTGCCAATTTCCCGGAAACAGAGATGGTGTCGGATATGCTCAACCGGCGCAACCTGGTGCACCATATGGACTCGAACACGGATGAGGATATGATCCCGATCTTCAGCCATGACGTTGATGGGAAGCCACGGAATAACAAGCGATTGATTCCAAGACGGAACTGGTGTTCGATTCGGGAGTATCAGCCTGGTATGTTTCTTTATTTTCTTCTGATTTTTGACTTTTCTAACAACGTATGCAGGCTTGACTCCACCAGCGACACCCGACATTGAAGACGAGGAAGAAGAACATCGCCCGGGAAAACTCAAACGGACATTATCATTAACGCGCGGGGACCGACCGGCAGGTGGACTCCTACGGCGCCTCTCAAGCCGTAACCGCCCGCCAACAAAAGATATCGACTTTGACAACCTAGGCAACGGAAAAGCCAGTCGCCGCATGAGCATGGACGGCCCCTATCCACCATCAAGCGATAGTTCGCTCCCACCACCACGCTCTACCGAATCATTCAACAGACCCGGAACCGGATCCTTTTTCCGCCGACCTACGAACGCCAGCCGACGGGGCTCGATACGGTCAAAGAAATCGACTACGAGCAACACTAACAGCACGACCAACAACACTACAGGGGATGACGATGGAATAGGCGGTCTAGTCAACCTGGAAGGCGGTCTGGCGATCACGTTGAACCTGGAACTCAACCCGAACGATCCCGCTGGGATCACGACACCATATAAACTACTGGTTCCGATGTTACGGTATGACGGGTTGGAATTTGACCCGCCGGCGACGCGAGTGACTAAGGGGTGGAAGAAATGGCTGGGGGTGAAGAAGGGTGGTGATCCGAGTCAGGAGAATAAGAATGAAGAGGAAACCGAAGGGGACGAAGTCAATTCGGATGGGGAAAACTACGATAATGGAGATCAACATGGGCAGGTGGAGGACCACTCGGATAGTGATGCGGATGTGGGAGCGGGACCGGCATCGGAGGAGGGGCGGAAGAGGAGGAAGTGGTTCAAGCTGTAACCTCTCTTTTTATATCCTTCTTTTCTTCGGCGTTAAGCTTGTGTTGTATACTGCACGTGACACGATTGATGAGATCAGATAATGCAATGATGATGACCGGGATTATCAATCTAGCGTGGTTCCATTCTATAACCATACTAATAAAGTCTCGCCCGCACCGCTTGCTAAGCACACACACGTGACCGGGTCTCGCCAGACTTGATTAGAAGCGCAATTATTCATTCCAGAAGAATTCAAGTGTTAACTGAGTCTTTTCTATCACTACGGTACACAGATAGTAGTACTGTACTCTCTAGTCTGTAATCTGTCAAGTTCTGGCTCCACTGCCCCTCGTCTTAATAATCCACCCCCCTCTTCCGCTTTTTTCTTTTCCATTTCCGTCCGTCTCTCACCACTTGAACTTCTTTATAAACCCCCTCTATCCTCCCAAGAAAACCTTCAACAGAAACCGTCAAGTTGTTTTCCTCCGCCTTTCGTCGTTTTCCTTTCTCCTCCATCCGGTCTTCTTTGGGATTGACCGCGGCTGCTGCCTCTTCTCTGCATCAGAAATCTTCACCTGCGTCTGTTCTTTCGAGTCCGTTTACGGCGCCAGCGAGCGTCAATTCGTCTTCCAAAATGGTGCACACCAAGGTTGTTAGTACGTATAACCTCACATCCCATTATACTGTTCTTCCGCAGGTGCTGACTCCTCATAGTCATCGGCTCCGGCCCTGCCGCACACACTGCTGCCGTCTACCTCTCGCGAGCGGAATTGAAGCCCGTCCTCTATGAAGGTATGCTGGCCAACGGCACCGCAGCCGGCGGTCAGCTCACCACTACCACCGACATCGAGAACTTCCCCGGCTTCCCCGATGGCATTGGCGGCACTGAACTGATGGAGGCCATGCGCAAGCAGTCCATCCGCTTCGGCACTGAAGTCATTACAGAGACCATCTCCAAGCTGGACCTGTCGCAGAAGCCCTTCAAGCTCTGGACCGAATACAACGACGGCCCTGACAATGAGCCTGCCCACACCGCCGACGCAGTCATCATTGCCACCGGTGCCAACGCCCGCCGCCTTAACCTCCCCGGGGAGGAGAAGTTCTGGCAAAATGGTATTTCCGCCTGCGCTGTCTGCGACGGTGCCGTGCCCATCTTCCGCAACAAGCCGCTCTTCGTCATTGGTGGTGGTGACTCTGCCGCCGAGGAGGCCATGTTCCTCGCCAAGTACGGCAGCCACGTGACTGTCCTCGTCCGTCGCGACAAGCTACGTGCCTCCAAGGCCATGGCCAACCGTCTCCTCGCGCACCCCAAGGTCACCGTTCGCTTCAACTCTGTTGCCACCGAGGTGCTGGGTGATGCCAAGCCCATGGGTCTCATGACCCACCTCCGCGTCCAGGACACCATCTCCGGTCAGGAGGAAGTCGTCGATGCCAACGGTCTGTTCTACGCTGTTGGCCACGACCCCGCCAACGCCCTGGTCAAGGAACAGGTCGACCTCGATGAAGATGGCTACATCATCACCCAGGCTGGTACCAGCTATACCAGCCGCGAGGGTGTCTTTGCCTGCGGTGACGTCCAGGACAAACGGTATAGACAGGCCATTACCAGTGCCGGTATGTTACTTTTTTTTATTTTTACCTCCGATATTTCCGGGGAAAGTGCTAATGCAATCAAACAGGATCCGGCTGCATCGCTGCTCTCGAGGCCGAAAAGTTCATCGCCGAAGCTGAATCCGAGTCTCCCTCTCAGGCCGAGACCCAGGCCACCACCAAGGCCGAGGGATCGACCATCCAGCCCGCTGCCCAGGAGGTCCCCGGCACCGAGCGCCGGAAAGATCCCCAGGGTGGTGCCGCTGAGTACCAGCAGAACCCTCTTCTCTAAGCCTCTTCTTTTTCTCTGCATTTCTCCTTTTAACTCTTCCAACCGATTCCCTGATGTCATGATACCTTCCTAGCTGGTTGGTTTTCGTCTATGTAATGATTCTTCATATTTTTGTCATGATTTCCGTCATCTTGTCATATTAGATTTCGTTCAGCGTGTTTTATTGTATCGCTGCCACTGTTAATGTCAGTGTTGTCTTGGATTTTACGGCCTCTCTGGGGTTACTTCAGTCGATAGATATAGAATTGTAACTCATGAATGAACTGAACTGGGATTACAGAATTATTCTCTGGACTGCACTGTAGTAGCTGTCTTAACGTCATAGGAATAGGAATAGAAATAGAAAACAACAGACATCAAGCCGGGTTAATGGACGCATTCGCAACCGAAGCATTCGCATCATTGGCCGTAGAAGACTCAGGTCGCCAGCTCTCAAACGGATTCTCCTTACACCACTGATCCTTAACCTCATACGATTTCCTCTCCCATTCCGTCGCCTCCCGCCGCCACCGTTCCGCAGCCTCCTCATTCATTCGTCGATTAGTTTCCACCTGCTCAAGATATGGTCGTCGAATCTCCTCCGCTGCCTGTCTCCACATGAGTCCCAGAACCTGACGGACCTCATCGCGCGCGGCTTTCGCCTTTGGATTCTTGGACGTGGAACGTTTCTGCTCGTCAGCCTGTTCACGTGCTTGCAACCAGTAGTCCTTCTGGTAGAAGAGGAAGGGGTTTAGGCCTGTTTTTGCGGGACGAGGCTGTTGGTGGCCGATTTCGGTGTAGATGGCGTTCCACATGGCTGTGTTGTAGGCGTCGCGGAGGGCTTTTTCAGCGGGGATAAAGGAGTTATTGGTTCGGGCGGGTGGTTGTCGGTCTGTCGAAGAGAATGGCGTTGGCGCTGCGGGCTCCTTCCGCTTCTGGCCTGCTGTGACAGGGGTGCTGCTAACGCTGCCCTTTTCTGGGACGAGTGGTTGGGGGATCTCGATTGGGCCAATGATGGCATTGATGATCTCGGATGCGGCACGCAATCCTGAGAGATACGCTCCATGAACAGTAGCAGGATGCGTGCCGCAGGTAGCTTCTCCGGCAAAATGTAGATTCCCGACTGGCGTTGCCATCAAGTTATAGTCTCCCGGAAGTGACTCTGGCGGCACAAACGAGTAACTGCCTCTAGTAAACTTGTCTGTGCCCCATCGTGTGACAACAGTTTCCAATGGGTCAGGAACCGCTACATTTTTGAAGACGTTGCGAAGCTGGCTGATAACTTCGGTAACGATCTCTGCGTCCGGGATACGCTCCGCCTGGTATGCGGCATCTCCGGACATCAGACCGATAAGAACCGGTAGACCAGTTGTCTTCAGACAGTTCCAGAACAAATAAAACCGCCCTCGATTGGCCGCATAGTCCTCATGCTCCAAGCTGCCAGGGTTCGTAGGCTCGCGTAGAAGTCCAAACATGTCCCGTTCTGTATCCCAGAATGGTTTATCAAATACCAGAATCACCTTGTTCAAAAGGCCAAATCCAAGCCGTCCAATCGCCCCAAGCTTCCATTCGGGAAGTGGAGGGGAGAATTCTATATCCTCGTTTTTCAGAACCCCCAGAGAACCGGTAAACACTACCTTGTCTGCTTGGATAACTTCGCCGTCTTCGCACTGGACTGCGGTTTTCCCTTGATGGACCCCGGCTGTATCATAGTGAATTCTAGAGGCAACCTTGTTTGTGCGGATGTCAAGCTTGTAAGGCAAAGAAAACAGCCCATAAGGCACCTGCTGGTAACCACCAATCACTTGGGAATGTTCACCATCGAACTCGTTCCCCACATCCTGATCCCAACCGGAAAGACTGAGCTGACCCGCATTCGCAGCGTTCGCATACTCCAGATTAGCAAAATGCCAATTGTATAATCTCATATCTTTAGGCGTAAGCGGAAGCATGCGCTGATACTGCCTGACACCTTCATCCAGTACAGCACCCAACGTTTGCTGGTCTGAAGCCTTTGCAATGGGATCTAGATCTAGCGTCGTGTTCACAGAAATCTCGGGGTTCAACTTCCATCCCATAGCTTGACAGGCCAGAGCAGCAGGTTGTTCTTCTGCAGGACCGAGGTCCGCGACGGGAGCAACCTTAGCCTTGATATCTGCCGTCTTGTGGCCCACGCCCCGACGGACCCGTTTATTCGGTTTCAATAACCCGACAGTACCTGCAGCCCTGGCTTCCTCGTACTGTCGTACCGTTAGGCCATCGCTTACGGTCAGATCACGACCTGAATCGATCAGTTCTCGATCACCCTCAGCAGTCCGCGGAATTACAGATTTGTGACGATAGAGCCCAGAACGATCGAACACATTGTTGTAGAGACTCTCGACCATAGCATCCTGTACTTCATCGGTCGGTGTCCCATCAATATCGTAGAGTGTCGAAAGATCGCGTAGTAAATGATACGGAAGAGCCAGTTGACCGCGAATAATAGGATCCATCGGATTGCCATGGTCAAATCCCACGATGATATGTGCGCCCATCTCAGCCTTGGGGACATGACCAGGCGGCAGGCTAGAGGTCTTAAAACTTTGCAGAGGATGTGAATAGATCCGGCCACCGATTCTACGTCGTCCTTCCAAGACCACTACGCGTGGCTCACTAGATATGGTGTCATGGTACTGATTGAAAAGGCCTTCTAGGTGCCTCGCGCAGCCTAGACCTGCCATACCAGCACCGATTACCACGATCACAGGGCCGTCATTTCTCCGTCCTGGTTTGGCGGGAACAGCAGGAGCTGGAGGCAAGGGAATCTCGACACATCCAAAGTTGATGTAGCCATTCCGAATGAGCCATTCATACGCAAACGAAGCGAGGTTCATCCAACGGTAATCCTTGGCGCACCCGAGAGCCTCGTCCTTGGAAACGCTGACTAGCGGGTTCCTAGTCCAGAGTCGAAGAATCCCGTTGCGAATGTTCAGGTACACTGTCACATGCAGGTGACACAGATGGTCCTGCAAAGCTTCCTGCTCTTGAGGGTGCAAAGCATAAGGACTGAGACGAGAAGCATACGCTGCCGCAACACATTGTTGCCCATACGCTACAGCAGACAGTCCCGATGGGATGGAAGATTTCGGTCGAAATCTAGCGTAATCAGCCTTGCTGTCAGTCACATAGGATGGAGACCCGAAGGACAAGGTAGCGGGAAATGAATGGACAGGGTTCAAGGGCGAAGCGGATTTTTTCTGATTGGTGGAAGGCAATAATGAGGCAGAGGTCATAGATTCATTTGGTGTACTAGTGTTCGTATCCGTCTCGAGATCACGAAAAGTCCCTTCAGTGCTCTGTGACCCATCATCCAGTCCACTGTCTGCGACCTTTCTAGGTATCCTAAAGTTGATAAAAGAACCGTCCTGAGAATCTGAACATTCCATCCCAGTGAGGCCCTGTGTGTCACCGTTCTGGCGTGCACTCTGCGAAAGTTTGGCAGGAGTTTGAGGTAACGGCTGATGCGAAGATAGCTGTGGTGAATGTGCATTGCCATTTGATTGGGTCCGTGTAGGTGGCATGTATTGCTTGATCTGCAACGTTTCGGATGAGTAGCCATTCGAGCCCTGTGGCAGAGTCTCCATGGCTGGCATGCTTGGCATATATTGCTTGATGCGTAGAGTCTCAGATGAATGCCTGTTCAAGTCGTGAGTCTCAACAGAAGCCGTCGTCTCCATGCTTGCTGTGGAAGGGGCAGCCCTCAACGTGACCGTATGCAGCCAATAAGTATAGCAATGTATCAGTCTGCCTCAGGATGCAGCAGTATGTAGATGACCATATGAATTAACGGATAGCAACGACAGACGTCAGATATGCGTCTCCATGCCGGGAGCATGGGCCAGTATCAGAATTCGAGTCTTTCGTCCATGGTGGGTCCACTTGCACAACGGTATAGTAGAGGCAGAATGATTATATGAATAGATGAATAGACGGGACTGAAAAGAGTGATAATCCCTAATGTATAGTTAGAAGAGACACTACTAACCGGAATGCAGCAAGCACAGTGAAGAATAGGGTCTGAGATAGGAAGGTGTGTGCCCTGGAGGATAAACTTGCCTTGTAGATGTTTGCTAACAGATTGATACCCTTTCACCCTTTGCTGGCCAGTTCAACAGAGACAAGTCGCTGCAAAATAGAATATAGCGGTGGATGAGTGCTGGTGGTGAAGGTGGTATGGATGGGCTGATTCTCTAGGAGTGATCGTTCTTGTTCGGGTCGCCGGCCGAGATGCTCCTGCGTAGTTTCCAGTCCGCGCCGCCGCATTTTGCAGAACCTCTTCTTTACCTTCCAAGATTGAAGAAAAGGAATTTATAGAGAATGGCGGGAATGACAGAAAAGAAAAGAAGAGAATAAGGAATAAGCACCGGGATGCTGACAGGGTTCAGGGTATGCTGTGGCGCGTGCGATTTTAAACTGGGCTGCAACTTCTTCAGGCTAACCGTTTTAGTGCGCTCCAGTTGCGCCCCCGAAGAGATACGTCGATAGTCTCGCCTAATCCTTGCCTTAAAGACTAGATTTCTTCTGAAATATTGGATCGAAACATTCGTGAATATAAATGGAAAGCATGGTCTCTACGAATCTAGGGCAATGGGGTGTCAGGTCGCTACAGCACGCCTCCGCACTCGGATGCATCCCAGTTCCGGACGCGATAACATTGCAACATGTGCGTATAGAAGAGAAGATAGGACAAAGGTGAAGAGTAGCTGCAATATATCACCCCAGATTCGACCGGACATGCGTATGCATCCGATATGTCTCACGCTCGGACTCATCCCCGTCCCTGAACACGTCCGAATCATTGTCCGTAAACTCATCCCGGTACGGGCTCACTGCACTCTTCGCTGGGCTTGAGTGTCCATCGTCACTTTCATCATCGATCACAATGTCCACATTATCGTCATCGAAATCGTGGAATCCCGCACGCTCTTCCTCATCACGGGCAAGAGTCGTGGCCGCCGCGTTGGCGTTCGGATCCTCTGAAAAAGCACGGTGAGGACGACGAGCAGAGTGGTCGCGGTCTAGCGAATTCCGGATTTCCTCTCGTTCTTTGGCTTCGAGTTCCTTGGCTCGGGCCAATGTCCTAATGACGGGAAGTCAGTATTGAGCAATGAGAACTCCACGGAAACAACAGACCTCTTGTATATGTACCACCCCGTAAAACCTCCAATCCCGACGGTAAAAACAATACTGCAGATATTGATCGCTTTCGATCCTGGACTCATCTTCTCATCTCCGGAAAGAAGGCGTAGCCGACTGCCGATGAATGCCGGCACCAGCAGTTTCGGTGATATGATTATTGTCGCCAATCCATACATCAAAGGATGCACTGTTGGGAACGTCGACACCGCACCGTTGCATATCGAATATGGTAAAGGACAGAGACGGATCATGCACAGCAATTTCAATCCGTCATACTTTAGTGTCAAAGCGAGAGCGGCGAATCTCTTGTCGTGTTCCATGAGACGATTAACGAATCTGGATAAAACCGTCCGCGAGACAATGAAGGAGACTGTCGAACCAAGTATAGTTCCCGACGCGTAGAGAAGCCACCTGCCAGGAAATCCATCAGTCAGTATCTAAGATACCATGAGGAATAGAGCAACACCTACCCCTTCCAGACTCCGAAGATGAACCCCGCCATCGTCCCAAACGTCGACCACCCAACCAGGGGCGGAAACGAAACGAAGAAAACACAAAGCCAAAGCACCAAAAACGCAGTCCATGACTTCTCCCAGTCCTCAACAACTGGCGCCATCCAATGGAATATCTGACCCGTGAAATACAAGAACACCAGGCCCAATGCAATTGAGGCCACCACCGCTACCACCGCACCCGTTTTCTGCCACCAATTCATTTGGTGCCAAGTCGAATCGATGCGTCGCCATATCTTCGCTCCTCGCTGGACCACTCTATCACGGATTGTAGCTGTAGCTTCACCTGTAGATGTTGACGTCACTTTGTTTGGCGTAGCGCGAGGGGAATTCCGCCTGCTCGTTGCCGTATGGTGACTCCATAACAGGCGGCCGTCTTCGTCGGTGGGGGAGAGAGGTTCTGGTGGTGAGGTTGATACCGAAAGAGCCCGTGCTGTGGAAGCATAATCCGCGGGCATTTTGGATGATGGAACGGTTATTGATTATGATTTCCCGTGTATTGGGTCTTTTTAATGATGACGGGGATCGGCCGCAAGTGAAGGACCTGCGCGCAGGGGCGAAACGATCGAGATCCAACAATCTTCACAACTGCAATTCCGATAGCAATTGTCTCTCAATCAATGAAAAAAGTCCGTACAAAACGTCGTTGTAAGGGACTGGGGATGGCAAGGTCGAGACAAAGGAGAAGCCGGCACCGACAACAATTCTCCGACGTCAGCGAAAGCTATCAGGAGGGAACGAACTTGGGCGTATGAGTCGATTCCAGTCGACTATAAGGGAAAAGATAGGATAGACAGAAAAGGAGAGTCATATAGCTAAGAAGGCATGATGAAAGTAACGTTGTGAGTGATAAGGTGAGGGTGGTGGTTAAATTCGAGGGGGCGCGGTGAGTTCTGCCAAGTTTATTAGAGCAAGCATAGGCTTAACAGCCTTACAAAATACTGCCGGAATATTGCAGCAGAATATTTGCAGACTTAACTGTATTACTTGCTCTATTTTTCATGCAGAATAATCTTTTATGTCTGCATATCAGAAATCTCATCTCGACAGGGTATATATACTGGACTATCTACTGATGAGATGCTTAATTGAAAGTATAACTATATATCGATAAGTGAACCATTGAAATGCAATTAATTCCTATAATACGCATTTAACACTGAAGCCTATACGCTATGTCAACTCCATGTCGAAAATATTATTCAAAAACGACGGGTCGCTGCAGGTGGGATCAATGTACGCCGACAAAAGCCCCAGGGAAAACATATCCGGCCCCTCTGTATTTGTCGGAGGCATCGCAGGAAGATTTCCATCAGCATTGGGCAATTCTGGACCTTCGACGGAGTGTCCACTGGCAGGACTATTCTTCAAAATAGCAGACGAAGTACTACTACCATGACCCTGGAACCATCGAGAAGGCCCGGACGAGGCAGTAAATGTCTCCGCCGCTGCTTCTCGGACATGTTGATATGCGTGTTGTGCGATAGACCAGTTCCGTTTCAGCACTTTGAGACACCCGAGGACGAGAACAACGCGATTGCGATGATGCTCCGAACATTCGGGTGAATGGATTCGACTAGTGGCTAGCTGAACTAAACCACACAGGGCGAGACTGCAGATGATAAACGGGCTATATCTCTGAACGTTGGGCCGCATAGACAGTAGGTTAGACAGCTGCTTTGATGCTTCTGTAGCCTTGATATCGTGCACATGGCGGGTAAACGACGGCGGCAGGCGAGCAGGAGTGATTGAGCACATAACAGTTCCTGCGTCTGGTACAGCTGGTCGAATGTTACTCCGGGGAAGATGTAAAAGCATCGCAGCGTATTGAATGATGGTATGTGCTTGGAAGAGCATCTCGTCGACAACGCCATATGTATCCACAATATCGACCTTGTTTGGCGGAAGGTGGTTTGTCCAGCTGACGAGTGCATTCTCGACCGCTTGCAGGTGATCTCGATGCGTTTCGCCCAGACTGTTCAGCACGAGTACTCGCGCTAGAATGTATGCAGCATCGATGCGATAACTGAATGACGAATATCGGGAATTAGTAGTATCACCGTCATCGTCTAAGAACATGCGTCGGCTAAAGCTAGAAAACGAGGGTGCCGGGGGGATGGTATGGCTATTTGCATATACTGATTCCTCGCAAGGAAGTCCAACATCGTGGGCAATACTACCACATCGCAAGGCTATCTTTTTTTGAGAAGAAGCCATGTAGATCTCCATTATCGTGAGTTCCCACCATGTCCGTCGTAGGCTCTCTGCTTCAAGTTCCTGGTCGCCACAATAAATTGTCGCGAATTCTTTGCGGTGCATCCCAATCTCCAATGCACCATCAACCGCTCGCGAGAATGTTGTTTGGGCCTCTGTATTCTCACCGCGGGCGTATAGAATTATCGAATAAAGTAGGAGCGCCTTCACCATCGATGGCGATCTCGTGTCATTGGAGCTCAATTGGACAGCCGTAGATTTCCGCAACGATTCACTAGATATTAACAATGAATAATGACTCCCAATAAACCGGACCACTTGCTGCAGGCATTCCGGATACCCGCGTCTTTCATATTCATTTGCTGGGACCAGGACAGGGTGTGCTGAATGGAAGTTCTCATAATATTGACGGACAAGTCGTGTATCAGGATCCAAGTCATTTTGGGCACTTGCTCCTGATAAGAAACTTTGACCATGCTCTCCGGAAGTAATCGAAGAATTATCTTTGCCGATGTTCCCCATACTCGAAAATGGCGAATTGATGATATTACCCCCTAACGGCACAGAGTCCCCGGGGCGCGATACTTCGGGGACTACTGAGCCGGATCCTGGCCGGCGATTATCGCGGGCTTTTCGATTCCGACCCCGACGCGAAGGAAGATACTTGCAATTAATACCGGTGTCCAAGCACCGGGAGCAAGAGGGCGTTTTGGCATCGCATTTGACATGGTGTTGCCGACACTCCATGCACGCTAGTGGCGATGGCCGGACCATTATAACTGAACCTTCTTTCTTTTCTCCGTGATTGCTTATTCTCGGTATTAGGGGTCTATGAAGAGAAAAAACATTTTATTCTCGATTTTGGATGTTAGAATGTATTGATTCCAAAGCCCAAAGATGTTTTATAAAGGTCGCCCTTTAATCTGAAGGATTCGGATTGGACGGCGATCTCGGGGACCTCAACCCTAGCGGACATGTCATGTGATATCATATGGCAGGTGGTAATCGTCGGGCATCATTAAAGATAGCGCCACCGACTCATGCAGTATGATGATGGGAAAATAATGGGTGTAAAGTACATAGTTTGGTAGATCAAATCCAAGCCAGCATTAGGGACGTCTGCTTATCGTTGAAGACTTGTGGAGACACATGTTCTTGCAAATCATGATAACCCTAACAGAGTCGATTTCAGAACAACATCATGACTTATGCATTCTGAGAAATTCGCCCTGCTGTGAGAGCAGGTCATTTCTGTTTGAACATAGGATCTTGCCTCAAATGTGGCTTCCGCGGTAATGCCCATTTAGTCTGAAGTGGCTTCCACACTTTGAGTTCCTCGTCCACCAACTTGAACGTCATCTTGTCCTCTTTTCCGTATTTGCCCGCCAGATGATTCAGATGAAGGGACATCACCCATTCCTGGGATTTATTCACCCCATTGAGGACGTGCATCTAAACGTAGTAATCTGAAATCATCCATCCGTCTCCAAGAGGAGGACTGGCGTCGTTCATTTCGGGTTACTTTCATGTAGTCCCAAAATGGTCAGTACCTGGGTTTGTGGGGTGATAATAGGACGTCTGTGGGTGTCTCGAGTTGGAAATATGGGAATCTCTTGCGACAGCTTCCCCTAGAGATTTCTCGAAATGCTGGCACAGATGTTGTGCGCTTTGGCTCCATCGGCGTCACAAAAAGCCGACATTGCATCAGCATGATCAACCCTTTGCTTCTCCATTAATCATTGGATCAGGATTTTAATTTTGGTCTCTTATACTGAAGTACCCCTTTGAGCTCAAATATCTTCTGGGTCTCATCGCGTGACACTGACTTTCATCGGTGTATTCTGGCGATGTTCGCGTTAGATAGTCCATGCGATTCGATGCGTGTTACCAATTATTGGAAGTTGTTGAGCTCTGTATAATCTTCAAAAACTATTATGAAGACCTCAATTGGGCCGACGAGGAGATAGTATGCGTGAATTGCGATAACTAGAGTCCAGTCATGAATGATGCAACTCTTCCTAGCAGCATTCAGCACTTCGGGGATAGAATCACAGTTGGCAGCACACATCATTGCTGAGTTTATGGGGCATTCCAATAGTCATTGAGCCATATAGACGTGGGAACTGATGGTCCTGAATAATTGATTTTGCAAGCAGACGCTCTAGAACATGCACTATATTTCCGGGAGGAATAGCTCTGTAATATATCTGCAGACGATCTGTCTAGCATGTTCAGACATCTAAATGCCACAATGTTCTTTTCTTTTCTTGGCATCTACTTGTAGTAGCCGTTTTCTCTTTGCTTACTGGAAGAGTATGTGCGTATCCTAATGCTCGTATTCCTTCGTTTTCCAAATATCCTGGATTGTTTTCTGCACCTGGGATGCCAGCAGCTCTGAGAGCTCTGAGCCACTATGGACTATAGCTGAAGAGAGTACTATTGCTCCAGTAGCCGAATTGGATACGATCGGGTTTTATTTGAAGATGAGAGATCGGCCGACTGTTGTGTGCCGACCTATGCCCCCGCTCTGCTGTAAGTCGGTTTACAGGCTTCTTTAATAATCGAGTCCCAAGCCCAGAGCTTAAATCTAGAATAACTCAAAAAGATAAGGCTTATTGTGATACTGTCCAAATTTTTTTCAGAAAAATACGCTTGCGAGGAGCTTTCTTTGACTAGGCAGTAGTGTAGACGTTATTTGTACGCATTTGTTGCCTTACCGGTCCAGCTCTTCTATCAATATCATCATACATCCAATTTAAATTCAATTCAATTTTGGTAAAATAAAAAAAAAAAAAAAAATACATGTTCGCCTCTACACGACCAGACCCCTCATTGCTAAATTCTCATCGATGTCATTCTAGAATCGCGATCAAACTGTACAGAAAAGCTCATCCAGCCCGCTTGATTAAATGCCAATCTCTCATATGATATGAAGTGCTTCATGAATCCCCCATGCGAAACAACGACAATATCCGGTCGTCCAGTATTCGCCAACGCCGCAAACTCCTTCTCAAGGAGTCTTTGGAACCTTCGCCCCCTTTTAACCAGCGCTTCCAGATCTGGCGCGTACAGTCCTTCTTTGGCAGGAAACACTGGGTCAAAGACTAGCTCATCCCACGGAAGATGAGGGAATTCAGATCGCAGAATAGCCTGATCAGAGCCGGTGTCGCAGGGGCGAGCTGAATGAGCTTGGATATCAGGAGACATCAAGAGCTGTGCACCATTGAACTGTCCGCCTCCTGATGTTTCTGGGTAATATTTCTCGTCAAGCGTTTGCTGGAAGCCGATGAGACTTGTCTGCAGTGTCCGTGTGAGTGGTGAGGTGATGACAAGACCGACATTCTCACTGAAAGGGAACATTTGTGAAAGCATTTCAGATTGCTGGACGCCTTTTGGCGTCAAAGGAGGATCCAGGATCGAAATATCATGCTTAGGGTTATGGATGCCCTCGGCATGTCGAACAACGTGGAGCCGTAAGTCCATTTTCGGGCCGAAACAATCTCACTTATGTGTTACTTCTCCAGAGGTCATTATTTCACAGCGGATTAGTGGCAAACTGGCGAATCCCACGCCTATTTATATCGACAATAGAGTACATACTAGTATAGCCAGGGCTGAGGGGGTACCGCTATTATCTCCGAAGATATGCACCCAATCAAGGTATACAAACCCCCTATCACCGAGCCTAGCCCCTTTTGGAATACCATCCCGAGTAACTTCATACATCAACTCTGGAGCCTTGAAAACATCTCCTATCTACTCGGTCAGACATTGGCAATGTGTGTATAGCTATATGTAGGGCTGCTATGGTTGTACACACTCCAAGATCTTGAACAGAGCTATATATTGCTCTTCATGTCCGCTGGATGAATATTAACCATTCGTTCCGACATTATACTCTCGTTCAGACGATGCATATCTCCTCGGTTTTACTTGGACTTGCAGCCCTCGGGGTACCACTCACTGCTGCTAGCGCTATTTCTCATGATGTTGCCTATCAGTCCTTCGTGATCAACACCGCCAATGGCAATGTCCGAGGTGCACCGTCTCCTTTCCATGGAGGAAACACGGCAACATCTACGAAGGCATCCCTTTGGCTGCTCCACCAACAGGCTCCAATCACTGGGAATTTACCAAAAAGCCGCATCTCTGAAATGGCGTGCTCAATTCCACCGATTTCGGCCCTCAATGCGCGCAGACTATTAGTGATGTCGGCATTTCTCCAGCGGCAAGAATGCCACGAGCGAGGACTGCTTATACTTGAATATCTGAACGCCAATGTACAAAAATACTTCGGACCTCACAACCAAGAACCTCCTTGCGTTTTTTTTTTTTTTTTTGGATCTACGGTGACCGGTTCGCAGGCGGCTCTGGAGACGTTATCACCTGTGATAACACGGGTCTGGTATTGACATACCGCACGCTTTAGCGGGAAATCTTTGGTGATTTTGCAGACGAGCTTTTCCTGCTTTATCTTGCCAGTAACAGTATCCAGGCCGACGAAAGCAGCAATGAGCTTTTCCGCGATCTCAGCAGGGTTGGAACCTGGCGCTGGGCAGTCAACTGGGCGGCCGGGGACGCAAAGAGCACCGTATATACGTACTATTTCACTCACGCTCCTACCTAGAATTGTAAAGAAGGGGCTATCATGGACCTGGGATCTGGTACGCATTAAACAACATCTCGTACTTCGTTTACTCGAACGTCATCTGGTACTATAGTGACTATGTTGCTGAGAGTTGGATGTCTGAGTACTGGGCCAACTTTATCCGCAAGGGCAATCCCAACGGCAATGGGTTGCCCAATACTGTCAGACGACAAACTAAGCGAAGGAAACGATGTGGTTGGGCAACTGTTGGAAAGCTGGTCCTCAGGATAAGCGTATTAACTTTATTGAGCGCTGGTATGCTACTTTGAAGGTATGGTGAAAGCCTTACTCCGGCTAAATCGAACACCCTATCTGGCTTTGAAGGCTCATAGAAAGCCGATATCTCATAGTGAGGGTTACAGAGAAACCCTGTAGACAACTGAAGTTAATAGAACCTGATTCGGATTCGGATTCGGATTCGGATTAACTCATACCCGTCCCAGCCAATCTTAATCCATGGCTATGCGGGAACTGCCCCTCCGGCTGTAAGCCGCCGGGGTAGTTTTTGATACCTATTTACATCTATGGTGTGTGCTTTTCTTGAGGGCTCGGCTCCTCTCAGATTCATGAGAATCCGGGGCTCCCCGGGTCCTCTTTGTTTGCTATGTACCCAAAGACCTCAATGCTTCGCCTAACTTACTTCTTCCTC